ACAAAGAAACAAGGAGCATAGACCTGACCATGACAAGAAAACAAGGGCATAGACCTGACCATGACAAAGAACAAGGAGCATAGACCTGACCAATGGGCAAGAACAAGGAGCATAGACCTGACCAAGGCAAGAAACAGGAGCATAGACCTGACATGACAAGAAAACAAGGAGCATAGACCTGACCATGACAAAAACAAGGAGCATAGACCTGACCTGCAAAAGACAAGGAGCATAGACCTGACCATGACAAAAACAAGGAGCATAGACCTGACAAGGACAAGAAAACAAGGAGCATAGACCTGACCAAGGCAAAAGAAACAAGGAGCATAGACCTGACCATGACAAGAAACAAGGAGCAGACCTGACCAAGGCAAAAGACAAGGAGCATAGACCTGACCATGACAAAGACACAAGGAGCATAGACTGACCATGACACAAAAACAAGGAGCATAGACCTGACCAAGGCAAAAGACAAGGAGCATAGACCTGACCATGACAAGAAACAAGGAGCATAGACCTGACCAAGGCAAAAGACAAGGAGCATAGACCTGACCATGACAAGCAACAAGGAGCATAGACCTGACCATGACAAGAAACAAGGAGCATAGACCTGACCATGACAAGAAACAAGGAGCATAGACCTGACCATGACAAGAAACAAGGAGCATAGACCTGACCAGGCAAGAAAACAAGGAGCATAGACCTGACCATGCAAAAAAACAAGGAGCATAGACCTGACCATGACAAGAAACAAGGAGCATAGACCTGACCATGACAAGAAACAAGGAGCATAGACCTGACCATGACAAGAAACAAGGAGCATAGACCTGACCATGACAAGAAACAAGGAGCATAGACCTGACCATGACAAGAAACAAGGAGCATAGACCTGACCATGACAAGAAACAAGGAGCATAGACCTGACCATGACAAGAAACAAGGAGCATAGACCTGACCATGACAAGAAACAAGGAGCATAGACCTGACCAAGACAAGAAACAAGGAGCATAGACCTGACCATGACAAGAAACAAGGAGCATAGACCTGACCATGACAAGAAACAAGGAGCATAGACCTGACCATGACAAGAAACAAGGAGCATAGACCTGACCATGACAAGAAACAAGGAGCATAGACCTGACCAAGGCAAGAAACAAGGAGCATAGACCTGACCATGACAAGAAACAAGGAGCATAGACCTGACCATGACAAGAAACAAGGAGCATAGACCTGACCATGCAAGAAACAAGGAGCATAGACCTGACCATGACAAGAAACAAGGAGCATAGACCTGACCATGACAAGAAACAAGGAGCATAGACCTGACCATGACAAGAAACAAGGAGCATAGACCTGACCATGACAAGAAACAAGGAGCATAGACCTGACCATGACAAGAAAGAAACAAGGAGCATAGACCTGACCAGACAAGAAACAAGGAGCATAGACCTGACCATGACAAGAAACAAGGAGCATAGACCTGACCATGACAAGAAAACAAGGAGCATAGACCTGACCATGACAAGAAACAAGGAGCATAGACCCTGACCATGACAAGAAACAAGGAGCATAGACCTGACCAATGACAAGAAACAAGGAGCATGACCTGACATGACAAGAAAAGGAGCATAGACCTGACCATGACAAGAAACAAGCAGCATAGACCTGACCATGACAATAGACAAAAACGAACTGACCACTGAAACACTGGAGACAGGGGAATTTAAACACAGGGTAACTAGACACAGGTGGGAACAATCAGGGGCGGGGCTGACGTGATGAGCACAGGAGACACAGAAGGGGTGACAGGTGAAAACAATTAGGAAATTAGACACACCAGGGAAACTAACGACAGACAGGAAAACACAGGGAAAAGAGCAGACAATATACAGGAGGAAAACATGACAAGGAGAGAAAAGCAAAACACCCACTACCAGACACACAAAACTAAAAACGTGACACAACACAAGAATCGTGACAGCAGCCAGTAGTGATAACAATAATTCATTGTAAAATAAAAGTGTCTATAGCGCATACTATTACATGAACAAACTGTTATTGTGATTATGAAATATTTTACATTATGATACACAAATATTGAAATAAGAATAGAAACAAATAATAAATTACATTGGCAATAAAATAGAACAAAGTACATTTACAACACCGAACAAAGATATCTATGATTATTATACATATGTGTGTATATCTAGATACACATGATGTATATATATTTGTAAATACTACATTTTAGTTATTACTGTTATAACCTTTAATACCAATATAAATGATTATAGTTTAAATAGAAAACATAGTGGGTATAAGCATGTGGTCTGTTTAACAGAAAGCTGCTCTGTACGTGGTGGTACGTCAGCAAACACTTCTTCACTGATTGCCGCATGGCAGCAGTGTAAACAGGCGATATATGTCCTAATAACATATAAACATTGTGATTGAAATAACTTATTGGCCTTGATTCGTCATGTTTTATCGTCGTTTGTTTCTATATCTAAATTGTATTCATCTTCAAAGCAGCAAAGATCTCAAAGAAAGTGAGAAGCTTAAACAAGAAGCAACTCAACAAGAAAGATTCAATAGGAGAGACTATTCTGCACAAGGCATGCAGAAGGAGAGATCTGGCTGAGGTCAGGGCGCTCATTGAAGCGGGGATCAACGTCAACACAAAGGATAATGCAGGTTTGTCACAGCTTGGACACCTAATCACTTCTATATTCTGATATATGTGTTACTCTAATGAGTACATGTTCATTGACAGGCTGGACAGCTCTCCATGAGGCTGCTTTTGTTGGTGATAATGCAGTGGCTGAGGAGCTGTTGAAGGCTGGAGCTGATGTAAATGCTAGAAGCGATGATGGGATCAGCCCACTGCATGATGCTGTTTCCGGTGAACACTACCAGGTGAGGAAGAAACTAGAGTGCAGCTTTTGGTCACACATTCCACATAGAGGAACAAAGTCCTAGCATCAGTCTCTGACTAGATTCTGCTCTCACTGGCATTGGTCAAATTTGGCACTTGGTGAAAGAATTGAGCAACTAATGAAACTTTCTTTTCTTATGTTTGCCTCTTTTCTCTTTCTTTTCTTCTGGGATCAACAGGTTAGATTTGCTTTTGTTCCAGCAATGTCTGGACCGGACCGATTGACATTACAGCCTCTGTCCAAAACAAAGACAATCCCATCTTGATCATTTAGTTTTAGGGCTGGATGTTAAGCCAATTTTGTTATACAGCATATTGCATCAGCTGTGGTTTTAAATGATGTCAATCCCTGAGTTTTCTTATAATTAGAACGGCTGCTATTTATCACCCTGCCTCCATTAATCAAAAGAGCGTTTTTTTACCCAAAAGCTATAGGAGGTTCCAATTCCTGATATTGTGGAATGTATGTGTGTGTGTGTGTGTGTGTGTGTGTGTAGGTAGTGACGCTTCTCCTCCAGCATGGGTCAAACAGCAGTCACAGGCAGATGGGGGGCCTCAGTGCAATGGACATGGCGACGGAGGAGAAAATGCAAGAGCTGCTCTCTCTCGGAGTGTCTTCTGTGATACGTGAGCAGCCTTGTCAGGGCCCTGCACAGTACAGACAACCAGGTGAGCAACCTTACATTACATTTCCATTCTCTTACACATACCACTGTGTACTTCACAACTCTCTGTGGAGCAAATGTGATGCCCATTGTTGGGCAACAAAACACACAGTAACTTTGTGTGTTTTTACTGACTAGTCATGATAACATCATTCTTTCAATTTGTGGATATGCCTGTCGCGAATCGCGATAACTAAAAAAGGAACTCGATAACTTTTCTGAGCTCGATAAATTTCCGTTTACATGCGTGTTTGTTTACATAAGGATGTGACCAGCATTTTAGCCAGGCACACTGTGTCTGCCGGCCACTCTACCGGCCAGGCGCGCTGTGGCTGCCGGTAGAGTGGCCGGCAGACACAGCGCGCCGGGGCCGGCAGCAGAGACCACTCTACCGGCCCGGCTTGCTGTGGCTGCCGGTAGAGTGGCCGGCAGACACAGCGCGCCGGGCCGGCAGAGACCACTCTACCGGCCCGGCGCGCTGTGGCTGCCGGTAGAGTGGCCGGCAGGACACAGCGCGCCGGGCCGGCAGAGACCACTCTACCGGCCCGGCGCACTGTGATGGGCGGGGCTCACACACAGCCAGGTCAGGACACTCCGCATGCAACAGTGTGTAGCAGCCAAATGAATAATATAGAGACAAGCAGGAGACAACGTGTGACTTACTCGAGGGGAATATGAAGTTAAATGGAATTGGTTGCAAAACCTAATTCCACATCTCCGGTGTGGGAATATTTTGGATTTAAGCCAAATCAACGAGGCGAACCTACGGACTGAATGAGCCAGGTGGTGTGTCGCATTTGTTTAAAAAAGGTAGCAACAAAAGCTAGCAATACGACCAACCTTAAACTGCACCTGAAACACAACCTACCCATTCCGTGTTCCCAGCTGGGAGCAAACAAGGCAGCTGGAGATGGAGAGCCCCCACCTTCCCGACTTACTTTATTTTTAAAAAACATTTTTTACTACTGCATTTTCACAAATGCAATTGCGTGTTTTGGAGAGAGCTCTGTTTTCCAGCCTGAGTCTATTTAATTTATTGTTTTGGTTGTGTATGATTTATTTAATACATTTTTTACAATTTAATTTATTTGTTTTATTTATTATATATCATTTATATATTTAAATATTATTTCACATTTCATTTTTAATGTTGAATATTCAATAAAAAAGGATGTACTTGAATTATTATTATATATTATCATTATGTCAGTGGTCTGAAATGGTATTACAACGGTGCCGACAATATTATCGTTTATCGCAATAATTTCCGGGAAAATGTATCATCCAAGAAAATTAATGATTGTGACAGGCTTATTTGTGGATCTCTTTAGCTGGAATCTTTTGAAGTGTCAAATGTGCCCCCCATCTACATGACAACAATAATGTATGTTAATGTGAGCTGTTCAGAAATCCTGAGATTTAAGGCTTGCACAAAACGAAAAAATTAGTGTCAGTAATATGTACTGACAATAATTTGCTAGTGTATTATTATGATAACTTGCAGAGTTTATAAAGTATCAAAAGTTGCAACCAACAAACTTGTTTTCTATTATATACAGTTGAAGTTAAAGCTGATTTCACTGCAGGGTGCCCTTAATTCTGATCAGTGAGCACATTTTAAAGCAAGTCCAAACTGTTTTAACTATGTTTACTATACTTAAAGTTGTTCACACTAACTACTAGGGGTGTAACGGTTCACAAACATTTCGGTTCGGTACGTACCTCGGTTTTTTGGTCACGGTTCGGTACGTTTTCGGTACAGCAGAATTTTTTTTCACAAAACAAAACATATATATATATATATTTTTATTATTATTATTAAACTGTGAATAATGTATTCACTCAAATAAATACAAAATATAATAAAATAAACATTAAGGTGCAGCATTTCGATGAACTGAAATAATCTGTATTTGAACTTTACTGTACTAGCACCTAAGCAGCCAGTTTGACATTAGGACTTGCTTGTCATTGTATTTTCATGTTTTTTTAAAGAAAAATGAACTTGTCCACATTGCTTGCCGAAAGGGCAGATCTGCTGGCACTAACAATGTCTCCTGCTGTGGAGAACACCCTCTCTAGGGACAGAGGTAGCCGATACAGCCAGGTAGCGCTTTGCTAACATGGCAACATAAGGATATTTGGCGTTTGTAATAGCTTTGGCTCGGTCTGAACTTTCTGCGAGTGGTGGAGGCTTAAATGCTATTGGGAGTTGGGTTTGCACTTCAGTCTTTTTTCTTTTGGTACCGGTGATATTCACGTTCGGTGATGCCTTTTCAAATGAGTGTGATGTATTGCCAGCCGCGTAACCAATGTTAGTTGAACAATGCCGACAAACAGCTTTGGTTCGGTCCACCTGTCTTTGTCCGTCATCCTTGTACGTAACTGCAAAACCAAAATGTTCCCAAACCGGAGACTTCAATGATGCTGGAGGATTTTCGAGCTCAACTTTATCTGCGTTCGCCATACATTTTTGACAGTTCCTCAAATTACTGACTACATTTGAACGCATCCCTCTGACCAGCTCTCATAGTATGCCTCTCATCCAATGAAATGACTTGCTCGCTCTATGACGCGTTGAACCCAATGTGAGCAAATTACTCTGAATGCTGCGACGCAGCACCTGAGATTACTTCCAAAAAGTTATTCACGTTCTCAATTTTTTACGTTTAACGTTATATTCGTTCGGTACACTTCGGTACACACCTGTACCGAACCGAAGGGCCCGTACCGAATAATTTCGGTACGGGTACGTGTACCGTTACACCCCTACTAACTACAAAATATAACGTTTTCCCACAAATTGATTTTTTTTCTGCGAATAATGTTCAAATTCAATTTATTGCATGGTACAAGTTAACAAAGCCTTAAGACTTGTGATTTATTTCAGTTGTGGTTTAAAGCTGAGGTTTCTTTCAGGTGAAATGTCTTCTGAGGCTCCGTGCCACAACAGCATCTCTGCCAGCTGCAGTAAAGCATTAAGTGTACGACCCGGAGACTTAGGTGACGGAGACGGAGTCAGAGAGCCTGGTGACATTCAGCCGAAGAAGAAAGACACCGCCACGGATAATGTGAGAGCTTTTTACACTTCCATTACCTTTATACTCAAATGTGCTTCTGTGTAAACTGATGCTGGATTCAATGTACATAGACAAAAAAGGTATTTTTTACCATTTATGGCACCAATTATTTGCCTTTCCTCCTTCAGGGACATGCAGAATTGTTGTTTTGAAAGTTTAACTGTTTTTTCCGCTTTGATGTGTGTTTCTCACTAATTACCTTCTTTTAGCGGAGTCATACAGTGGCCACAAGAGTGTTTTTGGAGGAGACGGGCAGGAAACAGACAGATGTTTCGTCTTGGCCTCTGATTGATCTGGAGGATGCAGGTAGAGCAGCCAGTGAAGTAACTGGTCACAAAAACCATTTACACGCCACCGTAATGTTAGGAGTATACCTAACAAGCAATACTAATGCAAATGATAGGATACGCAAATTATTGTCAGCTTGGTTTCAAATGGAAGAAGGCAGAATATTGACTTGTGCTTTTTTTTAGGCAGATATCATGCTGCTCTGATACAGTTCCAGGATGGGCTGGATGAGGTGCTTAACCAACAGCAGTTGGAGAAGGATAACATTGATCAGAAATTACGGTCAGTTCAGGAACTTCTTACATCGAGGATTTAAGTGGAGCATTGCAAGCCAGCAGATAAAATATTGGGTACACAATGCTTTCATTTCCAGAACATGGCAAAGTGACACAACATACTTATAGTGCATGCTGTACATATTTATAAATAGAAATAAGGTCTTTATTTCTTTAAAATGTCTTCTCGAAGGAGTAATTATTCTCTCAAGTAAATCAACTTTATCAGCCGGACAGACACAGAGCAGACAAGCAGTAGCAACGTGGAAGTAGCTGCAGCATTAGCAGCAAGCAATGCATGGAGAGAGATCTGGCAGGTTAAATAGAGCGGCATATTAAGGAGACTGTTTGGTTGGTTGTAAAGTGGCAAGGGGCGTTATGTATAAATGCATCATTAGTGCTCGAGTTGACTGCCTGAACTAGCTCACAGGCTTCACCCCATTGGAGGCATGCCTAAAGAACGGTCTCACAAATAAAACACATTGGAAACCATTTTCTTCTATATAATCCTGATGTCTTTTAATCTGTATCATATCACCTTAAGGTAAACAAAAATACTTTCTAAGAATTCTATGAAATATATCCACACATACAGTATAAAGTTTCCTCTTCACCTTACCTGCATTTATTTGGCCTGCAAAACACATTTCTATAAAGTTAATTAAAATATCTTGATTGATTTTTTTTAATTGGTTGCTGGACTTTTGATCAAAGAAAACGACAATGAGTTAAAATGGTATTTGAGGATCAATAGTTTAGGAATTCATATTTTGTAACTTTACTTTAGCAACCAATTTCACTCAAATGCTTTACTGTGATCTGAGGACTTGCTGAGTCCAAACAAAAGGCATCTTTACAGAGTGTGGAGATAAGACACACAAGTGTTTCTGGTAGGTTCCCATGTAGAAAGGCTGAGTCTTTATCATAGTGGCCTTTGCTGCATGTCATCCCCTCTTTCCATTTCCTGTCTATCTCAAGCTGTATCTAATAAAGGCAGGAAAAGCCAAAACCAGATGGAAGTGATAACCAAAATACAAAGAAAACACAGGCGTACACAAGTTAGCCAGCTCAACACTTGAAATGACCAGCAGTACTGTTTGATTCTCTGCAGGATGGTGTCCGACCCCCTCCGGCACCGCTTGCTGAAGAGTCGCCTTGTCTCCCTGTCTTTGTGTCAGAGGACGTTGGTGGAGCTCCTTCAGAAGCAAATGCTTATGGAAGAGGTGTATCTAACCGCGAAGGCCAGACTTTCCAATGATCAAAGCAGTGCAGGAGAGACACAGCAGCTAAATCACTTCTCCACTCCTGATCCTGAAGCTGGAGAAGCACACAGCTCAAATGACAACGGGCAAAGACAGGAGAGCCATCAACCCGTTACACAGCCCACTCTGTTCGGATCAGCACCCTTAAACCCTACACAACCAGACGGACCACAACTCTCTGACCTCATTCAGAGGGGGGTCATTCCCTCCGGAAGTGCTATAGAGCTGGTGTTGAAGGTTAGGCAATGCTCTTCTCATCAAACTATTTATTAACCATGTTCTCTCTACAGTTGTCACCTGACCAGTTGTGTAAAGCACATTTACTCAAGTACTGTACAAGTACAATTTTGAGATACTTGTACTTTACTTCAGTCTTTAAATGTTTTGCTTCTATGTACTTCTACTCCACTACAATTCAGAGGTAAAAAGTGTACTTTTACTCCACTACATGTATTTAGTACCTTTAGTTACTTCACAGATCTGGATGAATGATGGTAAATATAATCAAGTGTTGAATCAGACTTTAGTTCCACCTGGAGTAAATCCACCAGCTACCCTGCAGTATGCAAAGTCATTCAAACTAGCTGCACCTTTACCAGCTTTGAGAACACTTTGATCAATCATTATAAAACATATCATATATATTATTCTGAAATGGACCAATCAAACAATGACTACTTTTACCTTTGGTACTTTAAGTAAGGAGAGCAGCAGCAACATGAACACAGTGGCACCAGCAGCATAGCGAGGCAGCAGACCTGGCAGCTTAAATAGAGCGGCAGGTCTAGGAGAATGTGTTTGATTGGTTGTAAGAGGGACGAGGCGCGTCACGTGTTAATGTATCATTGGTGCTCCAGTTGACTGCCTGAACTAACTCGCAGACTTCGCCCATATCTGAGTACTCCTCCCACCTCTGCGCCTGACACACGTATTTTCCAACAACCTGAATAAATAAAACCAATATCTTTCCTAATGACATGAAAGGTAATAAGATACGATGAGAAGGGGAAATGCAGTTTTCCACTCTGTTATTGTATACACACACACACTAGAAATACATGCATAGGATCTAGACTTGAACGGGCAACTCTCCACCTACCCATATTTTTCCATTCCTAAGCCAGGTCCCTACAGACTAAGCTACTGCCCCCTCAAATGATGTCACTTTGGGAAATGTTTGATTGCATGACATGTTTGATTGTGGCGACTAATAACAATGAATGGCTGCCATTGTACAATTGACTTACGATCAGGGCCCTTGACATTAAGTTGCTGCAATTTATTATAAAAATGCAAAAAATGAGATTCCTACCATCATCCCACAAGGCCACAGCACAAGGTTCCCCCCTGTTCACCACCACCTGGTAGACCCCCCACACACATAGACTGGAATACCCCTGATGTGCAATAAAACTGTCTGAAAATATAAAACTGTGCAATATACCCTCCTGCAATTTCACGTTTATTACCATGGTGTACATATCTGCTATTTTGTTATAGTTTTTTACATATTGTGTTATTAATAACATAGTTATGCGCATACTAAGCCTGTTTTTTCTTTTCTTTCTTCCTTTATCTGCTATTGTAATCATGTAAATGTCTCCGTTGCGGGACAGATAAAGGATTTCTGATTCTGTGTGTGTTTCCTCTGCAGGGTCACTGGCACCTTGCTCTCCTGCTGGATGACGGCTCCATAAAGGACAGCAAGGGCAAGCTGCACCTGACTCCAGAACGCTGGCTAGAGTTCATTCTCAATAACAACATCCCTGTCAGCTCAACGCACGCCTGGGACCAGGTTAGACACCAGACTGCCTTCATACCCTCACTGCACTCAGAGCAGGAGAATGGCTGCTGAAAAAGGAAATACTCCCATCTATCGTGTTTTAGACTGTAGTGCCCTTCACAAGAGAAAACAACAGGGGGTCCCGATGGAAAAGTAAAAAATCCCTTCTCATTTGATTCTTTACAGCTGTGCAGTGTTTTAGCATCTGAGGAGCCATGGAACTCATTGATCTATTACAGTGTCTGGCCTTCCTGGCTATACCTATAACCAGGGTTAGAAGGGTTACTTGTATTCCATTACTATAAGTAGTCACATGTCAAAAACTGTAATCAGTAACCTAATCTGAGTATCAAAATATAAAAGTAACCTGATTACTTTCCGTTAATTTTGGATTATCTCAATATCAAATGCAACGCAAATAATAAACCAGAGAAAATAAATAACAATAAGATGTTTTTTACTTCAGTGTATAAAACAATTAACCTTAGAAAAGAAAAAACAAGATGGTTCCTTTGAAAAATGCTAATTAAGCTTAATGCATTAATTAAAAGCATAGACTGTATTTTTGTTTAATAAATTATTTGTTTACTTACTGCATTAAAAAATAGATATACTTAAAATAAAGACTAATTAAAGTAGCCTAAATATAAACCATAAAGAAAATGAATTAATCACATCTACCTATAATATATCGATCTTTATTTCAAAATGTATTGCAATCCTGCTAGTAATATCAATTTTTTTAATGTAATTGTAATCGAATACAGTTAACTTTTTTTGTATCCTGATTACATAATCTTGTTACATGTAATCCGTTACTACTCAAGCCTGCCTGAAACAACATGGACACACCAATTCCCCCTTTACTTTAGGGGTGTTTTGCCTTTAGACAAAAGCAGGTCAATTGGGAATGACATGCAACAGAGGTAACAAGGGTCATTACAATCATATTATTTATTATACATCCTTACCACTTTGTCTTTGTTAAACCCTTAAATTATTTTCCATTTGCTTTGTTCTCAGCAAAAGGCATAATACCGACATTAGAAACCAGGTCCTCTTTATCATTTTGCTGTAGATATTAATCTTGAGTATGAATCCAGCTGTGACTATCTAGTCCCACCCTCATAAAAAGGTGCTGTGATATTGGCTGAATCCTGTCATGTTCCCCCAAACAGAATCAGCTGCATTGCCAAGAACACACACAAGGCATTTGCTTTGGTATATAACGGTGCATGCATGAACACAGTCAAATAAGTTAAGATCAAAAATGTAATTATTATAAAACAAAATATTATAAAAACTCTTAGAAATCAAAAACTGTATCTACAAAAAAAGGAAATACAATAAGGATATTATAGATTAAATATGAAAAAAGTGTGCAGTATATCTAAATTGGAAGTGGATGAGAACCGGTGACTGAGTAAACCAATTAATGTCGTATAATTAACAAGGATAAACTGATGTTGTTTAGTGGATGAGTACTGCAGATATCACTGTTAAATCATTTGATCATTGGTTTTATTATGAAAACGTCGAGACCAGACTGTTTTCAACCCGTAACTTTACATGGAGGCTGCCGCATATACACGTTCTCCTGACGAAACCTCAAATCATCTTCGTAATATCTATCAAACTATAGATCCTACATATCGACTGGACGTGGATTCTAAAAGTACAATATATACTTCTCGCTAGAAATCTAATCAAAAAGCGTTTTAATGGCCAAACTATCCTACAATTTAGGATTTTACAGAGAGGGTTATTTGTGAATAAACGACCATCTGTAACGTTTGCATTCAACGGGAGCACTAGAGGCCGAAAACTTTAAAACGTAATTATAGATCGTATTAAGCGCTTGAACAAACGACACATTTGGTCGTATGAGTTGGAGGACTTGTTGAATGATTCATGGAGCACTCAAAGAAGGACATTTCCAAAAGGATATCAATACAGCTATAATTTCTCTCATACACAAAAAGGGGAAAGACCCAAAGTTTTAGACCAATATCACTTATAAATTCAGAAATCAAACTTTATGCCAAGGTAACAGCTCGACGATTGGAGAAAGTCCTTCCAACATTAGTTCATTATGACCAAACGGGCTTTATGAAAAAGCGATTCTCATCAGATAATATCAGGAGACTACTGCATGTTATTCATTTTGCAGCAGACATAACATCGCCTTGCGCCGTATTATCAGTTGATGCTGAAAAAGCTTTTGACAGGCTAGAATGGCCATTTTTGTGGCATATAATGCAAAGAATGGGTTTTGGGGCAAAATGTATGATTATGTTGAAGATCCTATATAATAATCCAAGTGCTATGGTTCTGACAGGCAATCAGTGGTCACCTAGATTTCCAATTCTACGTGGCACACGGCAAGGCTGCCCTGTCTCCGCGTTTCTGTTTGCAATTTCTCTAGAACTGCTTGCACAGAAAATAAGACTATCCAAAGAAGTAAAACAGATAGTTGTAGAAGAGACAGACCACAACATTTCGCTATATGTGGATCATCTACTACTGTACTTGGACGAGGTACCAACTACGCTTCCTAAGCTGTTAAATATCTTTACCCAATTTTGTTCAATATCTGGTTACAAGATCAATTTGAATAAATCAAAACCTAAATACAGAATTGCGCTAAAATAAAATGAAGAACAGCTCCAACGCCTATGCTATGGGAACGCCTCTGGTGCTGGTCCATTAACTGGCAGTGTTTCCCATATACTTGGGGGGGGGGGGGGGGTTGTGGTAGCGGGGGGGGTGGGGGTTGAGGTGACGTGCAACAACATTAACCTTTCTGTTAGTCGCTTGTTAGCAGACCCTTCACGCGATGGCAGAGCGAACAGGTACAGGCAGGGCCCATAATGATAGCCCTATAGTTTAAATCTACTACCCACACATGAACATATGGAAATGGGTTACTATTTAAAAAAATAAATGTATTTAGGAACCTATCCATGTGATTTTTAGTGGGGGTCGACCTCAAATCCTCTAGGGGGGTCCAGGGGCATGCCCCCCCGGTAAGATTTTATTTTGGAGTTAAATGCATCAATCTGGTGCATTTTGAGGGGAAAATAAAGAGACTAGATCTATGGAAACACCTATATTAAACAGAACTGTATACATTACAATAATCATAAAATCATGGCCATAACCAATAACATACCATTTCCAATATGAAAAAAACACTGAAACTTGTTTATTAATTTATTTTTGGTTCATTTATAGTTGTGAGTGTGTCTGCTCCTGAATCAGCCTCTCTTGTCTCCCTGTTCCTCTTTGAGGCAGCAGCAAAGACTAGTCAACTTTTAAAATCTTACCTTTTTTCACCTAGTTAACTTTTTATTTATTTATTCATGCATATCTTACTAATCACATTACATTTCATTTAGCTGACGCTTTTATCCAAAGCGAATTATAATGACCGATTACAGGGACATTCTCCCTGGAGTAACTAAGGGCTAAGTGCCTTACTCAAGGGCACACTAGTGGTGGTGTTCCTGGCAGGATTTGAACTCACAGCCTTCCGATCTTCAGCCCACCTCACTCTCCATTAGACCAATCACTACCCTCTCAAATGGAAATATGTGTTTACATAAATGGTGACCAAACCGTTTGAGACCCACTGAGAACTTAGACCAAGTTAACTATCTAAACACTCAGAGAGTCCTTTACTTCACCTGAGCTGAGGTTATCCCGAGCTTGAATGACACACAGAGACCAATCAAGGGCTTTGATTTATGATCTGTATGACAGTGGCCATGTTGGCAGGCCACATCATGTGGACAGCCAGTCACCCTGTGTGAGGCAGGCCACTTAACAGGCCAGAAGGAGGCGAGATTAGAGCGAGGGATCATTGTCCACAAGTTAATAGATCGCAGATGGCGTCGTGGTCACAGACCAATACAAAAATAAAATATAATTTTTAAAAAAACTAAATGGGTCGAGAAATATACTTGGGCGGCCGTTAAGATACCTGGGCGGCCCGCCCAAGTATAGTCTATGTGTGGGAAACCCTAGTCTTATTTTCTGCCATGTCGCCATATGACTGTATGTAAACATTTGGACCAATTATGGGGCAAGCTGTGAAAGTGTGTAAACATTAGGGGTGTTGAAAATAATCGTTTCTACGATGCATTGCAATGCGGACGTGGACGATTCGGTATCGATGCAGTGACGGAAGATAATCGATTATAGCGTAGTAACGTTGCTTCCTGATTTTCCGGCTGCGGCTTTACTATAACGTTTTTTTTTCTGTCACTTTAATATCAAATCGGTCGGTGACGCAGAGATCAGGGAACAGACGTGACAGTGGCACAGCAACACCAAACATGGAGCAGTCTGCTTTATCCACCAACACAACACCAACAGCAGAAGGACCCGCTCTGAATCACTCCGTGTCGCTGCGGCTCAGAGACACAGGGATTTATGTTTTTCAAAAATAATCGCGTTACAATCATGTCAGGTTTTTGGTGGATTTAATTAAGTCTTGGATTGCAGAGTATGAATGCCCTCTGGAACAACTTCACACACAGATATAGGGAGGCTAGACCTATACAATTCATTTATTTTGGTTTATAAATTAATGTCAAGACATTTATGTTATTGATTTCTGAAGCACTTTCTAAATAATAAAAAGAGAGTTCATATGTATTTACTGCATGTATGCATTGATGAAAAATAAGCCATGTGCAGTAATATAGAAAATTGAGGATGCAACGCATTGGTATGAATCGTGATGCATCGGGATATCGAATTGAATCGAATCGTTGACAGGATAATCGTAATCGAATCGAATCGTGAGACCAGTGAAGATGCACAGCCCTAGTAAACATGTAGAGAAATAGTGCAATTGGTCTGTATAGTAACATACCAATACTTCATAACCTTTTACTACGTATTGGAAGAAAAAGCAATCCAAAATGCTGTCAATTAAGGATGATTCCAAGCCCCATATGCCTTCTCTGTAACCAAAAGACTATTGGCACATATGGTTTATGAATGTACTGCCGTAAGAACGTTCTGGAAACAAGTTATTGACATTGTATCTGAGATTATTGGAGTTCACACCCTGTCTCCCAAGTATTGTATTGTTGAATGATGATTCTTCTCTTGACCTACAGAACCATCAGAAAAGGGTGCTTTTCGCTGGTCTAACAGCAGCCAAAAAAATAATTGTAATACGATGGAAACCCCCACATACTTTATTTATTAAGCAATGGATATCATCCTTCCATGACCTACTAATCTCAGAGCTGTCAATCGCTTCTGCTAATAAGGCTAAGGGGGAAACATTAGAGGCTATTCAAAGAGCTGCTGATCTGGTATTATCATTCATGTAAATGATGATTGTACATATACACCTATATACACCTTGGTGCAATTGTAGATTATTAGGAGTCAATCTCAATTCAGTTTAAACAGATGAAATGTTATGTGGAAAAAAAGGTATGAATGTATTTGATGTGGATAAATTGTTATGCTATAATATAAATAATATATATAATATAATAGATAGATGAACTCAGACGATTGCTAACAAACATCAGGTAGGATTTTCTGTGAAATGGCAAGATGGGTGGGAAGGGGGAGGGACGGGGTGGCATGGGAAAGGGATTCCCTAAATGTTTTATTTTTGTATTATTGTCTATATCATTTGTATCTGTGTATATAAGTCCCTCTGAGGGCAAAAAAAAAAAAAGTTGGAACTTTTAAATAAATGAACGTCTTGGGGAGGCTTGGAGCTGCGAGCGGCAGAGAGAATAATTGTTTTAATCTAAATGTTGCATGACTCATTTAAAACATACATATATGCATGATTTGAATATTTGCCTTTAAAGAAAATATGGGCTTTTGTAACTGACACACTTGATAAATCACTGATTGAAATTAATTATAAAATGACGTATCATTTAATCATGGAAACCAGTAATAACAAAAAGGCAACACGAATAACTAAAGGGAAAAATACCGTAAACAGGTTGCATCAATAAAACATATGACAGCACAGTACTTACATGCATGTCATGATATTAAAATCTGCCTTTTTATTTCATTTAGCTTCTATTTCCATTTGTTACAGTGAATCCATGGTGATTAAGCTGTTTGTGTGGAACAAGGTTCACTTGTCTGCTGGTTCCTGCCAGTAGGGGTCTGTGGAGACAGACACAGCATCAGGCTGTAAATTATTGAGTACTGTTTGCTGTAGAGCTGCACACACACACACAGTCCTCTGTATCCTCCATCTCATTGAGAAAATGAAAGAGGCCTGTTTAATGGCTGCTGCTGAAAGACATTGGATCTGCCCTCAGGTTTCACATATCCAACCCAGCAGACTTTGACACTCATTAATAAGTCATCATTCATAATCTGACGCTTCAATGGTGTTCAAATATATCTGTGATGAACTTCTTCCACTGTGCTTCCAGGTGACATTCAGAGGCAAATCTTTGTCTTATTATGCATTGAACTTGGCTGAAGGACACTCATCTCCGGATGTTCAACAATGCCGCGCTGCTTCTTCCGGGGAGGTGCTGACCCCAGGTCTGTTGTTCCTGTCTGCTGCCTAACCCTAACAGCCTCACTTCCACATACATCCACCTGTCACATTTCATTCACAGCCACTCCTATAAGTAAAGAGGGCAGGCAGGCAGCCGCTGAAGCGTAGCTTTTTCTATGTCAATAATGAATCAGCCGCCTCATACATCTCCCACCTGGAGTTTCACTCAGCACTGTGTTAACCAGCCTCATTAAAATGAATTGTAAATTTATTTTAAAAGGGGACTTAATATGTAAAGCATGGTTTTAAATGTCCTTTTCTGTTTCTGCAGAGGACCTGAGAAAGATGTTAATAAATATCAAGATCGTCCATCTGGTGGGGGATGAGGAATGGCTGCCAAGTGCTCAAAGTAACCTGTACTGGAAGAAGCTCTTGGCAAAAGACCATGATGACTGGGGGGAATTATCAGAATGATATATAAAATAAATAAACATTAAATGATCCAGTATCCACCAGTATTGTTTGATACGTTCACTTGTTCAGTTATATTGTTTTATGACTCATTTCCCACTGAAAAAAAAGGACATAGACAGGGGTGCACATAACTTTTTTGCCCTGGTTCTCAAAGGAGCACCTGGAGATGTTGCTTGGTGCTCATCCTTAAAATAAACCATAACTTTTGAGGGGTTCTTGACTTTATTTGCCAGACACACGGCGCTGAACACACAGAGGTGAACACAGAACACACATGCAGAGGTGAACACAAGACAACATTAGCACGACCAGTAATCCTACAAGCTGTCATCACTACCCTCCTGACTGTTCTCCTCACTGTCTTCCTCTCTGTCAGACATGGTAGCTGATGATGTAGGCCTACTACTTTCTCTCTGGTTGAGTCTGCGATTAGCTGCTTGCATCCACAAGTCAACAGCTGGGTTTGGGTCGAAAGTCTCTGTTGTCATCTTAGAAGAGTGGATGTAATCAAATAAGTATGTGAACATAACCAATAACCTACCATAGCCAATAACAAATGAATGTAACTTATTTTATTTGTGTTGTTCATTCAAATCTTATTTTACCGTAACATTTATTTATTTATGCTTTTTTTTTTAAATCTCTCCAGTTTTAAAGGATATTTGTGGTTACTGTCCTATAGTATACATTGGAATGATTTCAAACCTGTTTATCCCAATAATTATAAAGGAGTGCCTTGGAAATATGTGTTTACATAAATTGTGATCAAACTGTTTGAACTTAGACTAAAGTGAACTATCTAAACACTCAGAGTCCTTACCTCATTGAGCTGTAGTAGCCTCTCAGTCTGACTGGAGAGGACTCTCCCTCCACATTATTGTAGAAACATCTTCTTCTTACATCCGTTAGAGCAGCTAGCACCAGATTATAATAACAACAGCGCCGGTACCGGGCGGTAAGCCCTTCTCTCTCTCCCACGCTCACTCGCATTTTGGCTGTGAGCTGCGGGTGCCAGATAAGCCAACATCCCCCATTTTCATCACTTACAGCGCCCATTGTACAGGGAAAATGAAATGTGTAACCGGGGTGAAAAGGGTGTTACATTTACTTAATTATGAATGTTGTTACATCAAGGCCGAAAATTAGGATGAGCCCCAACGGTCAAACGTTTTTTTTTCCCTCCCAGAGCTGTCAGCGCAGCGCCTCCCCAGATCTTGCGCCTTAGGCGAACATTTATAACACCAGTGCGACGGGCCGGCCCTGAGTTCATATGCAACCTGTATGCAACTCGCAAATATCTTTCTCTCTCTCTCTTTTCTCTTCTCCCTTCTCTCTGCGCATGCGCACCAGTTATGTGCAGCCCTGGACATAGAGGTTCTTTGAATTTACACAAATAAAAACAGTAAATGCAACGGAATCAGTTCATGTTCTGTCTCTGAATGTGTTTTAATTAAGCAGACTTCATTTATTACATTTATTTGTTAAATCTCTGTATTTAAATCGCTTTGACTGAACGTGATTTAATTGAAACATTTTACATTTTAATCAATGTAATCTACTGGATTCAGGTCTGTTCTGCCACCCGCAGTGGGCATCCCCTGCAAAGGTTTTAGTCCATGGGCCCATACCTGGATTTCCACTTATCGGTACCACCCAAGGTGGCAAATTTTAGTGAAGTGTTTTCAAGTGACATATATCTATAGATGATATTTTGGTATGATAGACATTCCAGAGTGGTAGCTTAGTCATAGAAATCAGCTATTGAATACAATGACCCGAAGCGCCAAATTCGAAGGCGTAAAATGTGGCTTGAATGTACATATAACTCAAATACCAACATGAAGTCAACCATTTAATGGCTAATGCATTGTTCTTATGATGTTGTTTAGTTAGACAGGTCATTCTAAAGTAACCAGAGCACCCTAGGCAGAAGGTCCATGATCGATTTCGTTATCGTATCATCGGACCTGAGGCCGTATGTTTTGGACACTCGGGTAAAGAGAGGGGCGGAGTTGTCAACTGATCACCATCTGGTGGTGAGTTGGGTCGAGTGGCGGGGGAAGCCTCTGGATAGACCTGGTAAGCCCAAACGTGTAGTTCGGGTGAACTGGGAACGTCTGGAGGAGGCCCAAGTTCAGGAGGCCTTCAACTCACACCTCCGGCGGAGCTTTTCGGGCATTCCTGTGGAGGTTGGGGACATTGAACCAGAGTGGTCGGTGTTCAAAGCCTCTATTGCCGAAGCCGCGGCGGGGAGCTGTGGTCTCAAGGTCCTAGGTGCCTCAAGGGGCGGTAACCCTCGAACCTCCTGGTGGACACCGGTGGTCAGGGAAGCCGTCCGACTGAAGAAGGAGGCCTTCAGGGATTTGTTATCCCGGGGGACTCCCGAGGCAGTTGCAAGGTACCGACAGGCCCGAAGGGCAGCAGCCTCATCCGTGGCCGAGGAAAAGCAGCGGGTGTGGGAGAAGTTCGGAGAAGACATGGAGAAGGACTTTCGGGCGGCACCAAAGTTGTTCTGGAAAACTGTCCGACACCTCAGGAGGGGGAAGCAGGGAACCATCCAAGCTGTGTACAGTAAGGATGGGACGTTGTTGACCTCAACTGATGGAGTGTTAGGGCGTTGGAAGGAACACTTTGAGGAACTCCTGAACCCGACAACTCCGCCCTCTATGTTAGAGGCAGAGCTGGAGTATGACGGGGGATCAACACCAATCTCCCGGGGGGAGGTCACTGAGGTTGTCAAACAACTCCACAGTGGCAAAGCCCCGGGGGTGGATGAGATCTGCCCGGAAATGCTGAAGGCTCTGGGTGTTGAGGGACTGTCATGGTTGACACGTCTCATCAACGTTGCGTGGAAGTCGGAAACAGTACCAAAGGAGTGGCAGACCGGGGTGGTGGTTCCCCTTTTTAAAAAGGGGGATCAGAGGGAATCAATTACAGAGGCATCACACTACTCAGCCTCCCCGGGAAAGTTTACTCTAAGGTACTCGAAAGGAGGGTCAGGCCGATTGTCGAACCTCAGATTGAGGAGGAACAATGCGGATTCCGTCCTGGTCGTGGAACGACGGATCAGCTTTTTACTCTCGCAAGGATCCTGGAGGGGGCCTGGGAGTACGCTTATCCGGTCTACATGTGTTTTGTAGACTTGGAGAAGGCGTATGACCGAGTTCCCAGGGAGTTACTGTGGGAGGTGCTGCGGGAGTATGGGGTGAGGGGGTCTCTACTCAGGGCCATCCAATCTCTGTACTCCCAAAGCGAGAGCTGTGTCCGGGTCCTCGGCAGTAAGTCGGACCCATTTCCGGTGAGGGTTGGCCTCCGCTTTGTCACCAATCCTGTTTGTAATATACATGGATCGGATTTCGAGGCGTAGTCATGGGGGAGGGGGTCTGCAGTTCGGTGGACTAAGGATTGCACCACTGCTTTTTGCAGATGATGTGGTTCTAATGGCTTCATCGGTCTGCGACCTTCAGCACTCACTGGATCGGTTCGCAACCGAGTGTGAAGCGGCTGGGATGAGGATCAGCACCTCCAAATCTGAGGCCATGGTTCTCAGCAGGAAACCGATGGACTGTCCACTTCAAGTAGGGAATGAGTCCTTACCCCAAGTGAAGGAGTTCAAGTATCTCGGGTTCTTGTTCTCGAGTGAGGGAACAATGGAGCGTGAGATGGGCCGGAGAATCGGAGCAGCGGGAGCGGTACTGCAGTCGCTTTACCGCACCGTTGTGACGAAAAGGGAGCTGAGCCAGAAGGCAAAGCTCTCTGTCTACCGGGCCATTTTCGTTCCTACCCTCACCTATGGTCATGAAGGATGGGTCATGACCGAAAGAACGAGATCGCGGATACAAGCGGCCGAGATGGGTTTTCTCCGCAGGGTGGCTGGTGTCTCCCTTAGGAATAAGGTGAGAAGTTCGGTCATCAGGGAGGGACTCGGAGTTGAGCCGCTCCTCCTTCGCGTCGAAAGGAGCCAGTTGAGGTGGTTCGGGCACCTAGTTAGGATGCCACCTGGGCGCCTCCCTAGGGAGGTGTTCCAGGCACGTCCAGCTGGGAAGAGACCAAGGGGTAGACCTAGGACCAGGTGGAGGGATTATATCTCTTCGCTGGCCTGGGAGCGCCTTGGGATCCCCCAGTCAGAGCTGGTTGATGTCGCCAGGGAAAATAAAGTTTGGGGCTCTCTGCTGGAACTGCTACCCCCGCGACCCGACCACGGATAAGCGGGAGAAGATGGATGGATGGATTCTAAAGTAACTTGGACAATATTTTAGCCAAATACAATTATTATTACTTGAAGAAAAAAAAAACATGGAACTGCATAACATAGTTACATGTACATGTCTGTAGTGTCTAGCTTTGACCAGCCAACTAGACAAAGTCAACTATACTACCAGTTTTACATGTAGAACTCCTTCACAAGGTCAAGAAATATTCATGGGGGCAAGTCTAGTTTGATTTACTTACATATTTACCCAGTACTTGAGTATACATCAGTTTATACTCATCGACAGTGACTTAGCCTGGAGTGTTTGATGTGCTTTCGCAAGCTTAGACAAGGAGAGGTTGTCTGAATAAAGGAGTACTTTGCCCTTATTGTTCTGAATGATGTGGAGTGCTTCTCCAAATTCACTCTCCAGCTTCCGGCGGATATGTTTCTTTGTGGATGGTGTCACCTTGGTTATACTGAGACCATTCATACGTGAGACCAGTCTAGCTGTGAAGTCAATCAGTGGGACCACAGCAGGGTTGAGAAACAGTTCCTCTCTGATAAATGAGAATAGTTCACTGTATGACTGTTTCTCTGCGGCATCATACTGCACACCATCATCATTGGTCTCGTTAATGTCCTCTCCATCTGGCGCACTGCTTGCTGCTACAGGAGCTGCATCCTTGGTGTACAGGCGGTAGCAAGACTTGTGGTAGTGGCCTTCAGCAGCCACTGCTGACAATGGCAAGGATTCTGTTGTCCAGTTTCCTCGTTGCAGCTGTCCTGATTGCATCATCTGCACGGAGCTCAGTACACTGGGTCAAAGGCTCTCTTGTCTTTAGGCCTTTCAAATACTTGTTGGTTTTCTCACAGAAGATGCATTCTTTCTTATATAGTACCCTTGATT